ATTTTCTACCCTATAACCCCGTTCATAAAGACAAGCAAGAAAGTAAGACGATTTTAGTTGTCTCTTATTTTACTCTTTCCTCCGTCGGATATCGTCAACTGAACAAAAATCGAAATGCAATAACGAATATATAAAAAGAGTTCAGAAAGCAAATTGAAAATCTCTCTTCAATTTACTCCAATCACAGTACGATGCTTTCTTAAGAAGCATAGATTTGAGGATAACAGTCAAATTAATGTAAATAATGCAAGTAATCATAATACCTCATCTCAGAGATATAGACAGATAATTTATATTTTATAGAACTTTAAATATGGTTATTGCCTTTTGCATCTCAATATTATTCGCATTATTATTATAATTCGAATTATAAACACGACATTATTATTTTCCGATGGAGCGGGGTTATAATTTCCAGTTTTTCCACTTTAATTTATACACCAAAAGAAGTTTAGGATACTGTATATTTTCTCAGGATATGTCCTACCGTCGCTCAAATGAAATTGCAGACAAATCAACCGAAATTCTCCCATCATAAAAAAGTTCACAAGTATCTGTTAACATTTCGTTATATATAGACTTAAGTACTGTCACTGGAAACTCATTTTTTTTTTTTACTCAAAACCGGCTCATACAGAAATTAAACTCGGTTCTAAATTTGAATTTCTATATTCATATATATTAAGTAATCATCGACATCATATGAGATGCGCGATATTCTTTGAATTCGCAGACAATTAGGATTTATTGTTTGATACGAAATTTGAGAAGATAACTTTAGAATATGATCAACAATACTTTCCCGTCTTTAAAATAGATTTTTAAAAAATGTGAAAATATTTATTAACCAATAAAACTTGAGATTAATAAATCTATTTTTACCTGGATCCTATGTTTAATCATAAGACGATAAATTATTTTTCGATAACCTTTGACCCAAGGTGGTCGTTCATTTGTTATACAAAAGTGAAATTCTTATACTTAATTACATTTTTGCATATATATTCCAGTATATTATATCACAAGAAAACTGCTTAGCGATGTTGGCACAACCATACAGACCAAATTATTTATCAACAACAGATATTAGTATTAATATTGAGACAGCTCACTGTTTATTTAGCTTCCGACTGCTACAATTTATACGCATTCATAAAACAACGTAAATCCGTGTCACAAACATACTCACATGTAAACTCATTCTGTTTCTACTATAGTAACGCAATTCATTTGGCTCTACAGTATGGACGATACACAACATATTTTGTGTGAAGTTATTTCCAAAGAATCTTTGTAATTTATTCATTTCAATCTGAAAGAAAAATAATACCAAAATAACAAAAGATTATTTACATTTATAGAGTAGATTTGACGATTCGCTTATTTCGTCGTTTATCTACGCATATTTCGCTTAATATATATAAACAGACTGAGATAGGGTGAAGGCTGTTTCACACACGATGAATATATTTATACACAAATATATGAGATTAGATAGATAGACATGAACAGACTGTAAGAGATAGATAGGTAGATAGATATGAACACGAAGGTAGATTGAAGATTCTTTCGCACACTGTGGATAAATTTACCCACAAATATATGGGATTAAATATGGAATTAGATAGATGTGGACAGACGGAGATAGACTGAAACATCTCTAATTCAAGGGTCAATTGTTATCTATCCTCCATATCCTCGTAATCTTCACTTTCTACTTCATCCTTTTCCGTTCATATCACATATATCTCGTTTTGTAATCTTCTAATTCGATTGGCCATTGGGCCTTGTATTGGATAATCTTTAGTGACAAAATAAAAGTTTGCCTTTTATTCATGAGGTTTGGCTTCTGTTTAATAAAGGATTACAAGCTTCGGTCAAATAATAAAATATTAATTCTATGAAAACGGTCATCTTACATTCGTGTAAAAAACTAACACAAGAGGGACAAAGCAACATTTATCACACGTGTACAATTGTGGATAGTCTGTCATCAAAGTTTAACGTGTGTAGGAGTGAGAAATGTCCCCTTTAACAATGACTATGGATTCAGATCATGAGCGGGCAGATATGAGTTTTACATATATCTGCACGAATGGTAATGGACGCGAGGCTGCACGGCTGTATCAGATTGCTTTTCCACACCGAAGGCATCCGACATATCCAATTTTTTCTGCTATTTATCGTCGCGTAGCTGAGACAGGAACTGTAGCACCACAAACTATGGACCGAGGAAGATCGAGATCTACTCTGACGGCTGACCACAAACACATTCTACAAGTTGTCGGTGATGATCCAAGTATCAGCACACGTCAAGTGGCCCTAGCATATCCTACATCACATAGTATCGCATAATTCAAGAGCAGCTCTTTTATCCGTATTATTTTCAACGTGTCCAGAGTCTTTCACCCTCTCATCACTCACCACCAGAGAAATTTTGTCGATTCGTTGTTTATATCTTCAGTCTTGTTTACGGATGAAGCAACATTTCGAAGATATGGAATAACAAATTTACATAACCAACATTTCTGGATGGATCGGAATCTCCATTGTAGCATACAGACACCAGCATCAGTTTACGATTATTACGTGGGCTGTAATTCTAGATGGTTCTCTGGTAGGTTCATATGTTCTCGCGGCCTCTCTTACAGGAGTTGTCCACAGGGACTTTACTTCGAACACACTTACAGACTTGCTAGAGGATTTACCTCTTCTAATACGAAGATGCATGATGGAGCTCCTGCACTTTTTAGTCACATTGTTCGCGATGCACTAGCTGACATCTACCATTAAAGATGGTTAGATAAGAGAGAACATGTACCATGGCCTGCACGTTGCCGCGACATTAATACTTTGGATTTTTATCTGAGAAGCTACCTAAAACAATTGGTTTATGCAGCAGACATTTAGAATGCAGAGACGCTTCATCAACGTGTCATGGGGGCCTACGAAACCATTCTACACCATGTGGGAGTATTTGAAACGGTCCACTAGTCAATAATCCGACGGGTTCATGCGTGTGTTTACAGTTGGCCATATTGTAAACAACTGGGATGCTGTTCCTATCTTTGTTGACTAATACTGACCTTATATGTCATTTGGCTTCCTATTCCCTTATCGGTTGGAGGTGGTGTGTCGTCGTCCCGATAGGGTTGATTCGGGTTTACTCAAAATATTACGATATCGGGATTGACAGCGAACTTTATTGTGAAAACCTTATAGACGCTGTGTTTCACAGATAAGATTGCGTAATTTCAGCCTGTATCCGTGGTACATTTTTATCTCTTGATGTCCAAGTACAACTTCTGAAGTCAAGCTGGAATGAGAAATCCGCCAATAAAATGCACAACACTGAATATAAAGAAAAACTGGTTGAATAAAATGTCGCTGTCAGCTGCTGCAAATCAAGTTCTCTGCTGTAGAAATGGTGAACTGGGAATTCTAGTCGCAATGCAGGATTAGCCAAAAATCAATTCTAGCACTGTGCTTCAGACAGCTCTTCCTCAGTTCTTCAAAGCAACAACTACTCTGTCAAAACTTTCTCAATTCTTTTGTCATGTTGACTGTGTTTTCGTACCGGCCCGGGAATTGCGTGTGTGCTCTTTAGCGACGATTGTCTTAGAAGAAATTCAGGGTCGTCCCCTTCTGTCTCTCACCCTGGAGGATTTCGTTCATATAGATAATTCACTCTCACAAATTTGATACTGATATCGAATTTCTCCACTCGACCGTCTTAACAAAATCTTATCTTTTATATTTTTATTCTCTACTCAGAATCTTCGTAGATATCTATTTGTAAAGATAATTGTTTCTTGGGTAATCCACACAAACAAATTCTACATAAACCAGATGTTATTTTGTTCTTTGTCCAGAATAATTTATAAAAACACAGATATTCAGTGTAAACAAACTACCGAATTTTAATTTCTGAGGACCTAAGAAATTAATCTTGTTTTCTTCTTATCGACGGGAGGTGGATAAGGTTGTGTACACTACCTGTGATACTGTTCTTAATACAGTTTGTGAGGTTACTTACCTCCTCGGGACCCAAGAAGAAACCTGATCGTAACTTTTTTATTGGACTACGCCTCTATACTCTTTGATGTGTCTATAAGTCATCATGTCTACTGTAAGTTATTCAATTTCTGTTCTCTGAAATCACTAGCTATGATCCAAATCGAGGCTGCCTTGTTTCAAAAGGAAACCCCCTCCAACGCACATTGACTTTTGTTTGGAAAGTCATATATTATTTGATCCGTTCGTTTGTATTTTAAGAAAAGTGGAATGCTCACTCAGCTTCACATTTCTGTTGTTAAAATGTCTCTCGCATATATTTCTATTGTGTAATAAACAAAAATCTCAGTACCTGCCAACAAATGATTCCTTTGAACATGTCGGCCCTAATGCAAGATGGAAGACCTTTTTGCATATACAAGACGCTCACTGTCAGAAACTGAAAGGCGTTCGTCTCAGATTGCATACCACATATAGGATCATAATTCTATATTTAATGAAATTATTAAAAGTCTGTCCTTAAAGGGTTTCAATATTGGGTATGAGTTTAGACAAGTAGCGCCAGTAAACCTTGCATACCAATATATGGGATCATAATTCTAAATGTAATGAAATTAGTAAGTGTCTGTCTGTAAAGGGTTCAATATTGGGTTTGAGTTTAGGCAAGTAACTCAATAAATCTTACTTATAATATTGATAGAGAAGAAGAATTCTTAATGGAACTGTGAAAGTTTTTCCTTTAATAATTATTCTTCTGATATTTTTCATGGATTTTCCCATTTCCTTGAAGGTAGATGATTCCACTTGATACGATGTAGGCAATGAATAAAAAAACGGTAGCGAAATAAAAAATAAAATCGTAAGACTGTGTAGCATCGAACAATCTGCATACATTCAATCATACGTAAAATATTAAATATCGAATATTTTTATTAAAATAAATTCTACAGATTGTGAACGAGATGCAATGCCCCTGTTTTGTTTTACTATTTGTCATGGAATTTCCCATTTCGTTGTAGGCAGATGATTCCACTTGATACGATGCAGGCAATGAATAACGAACCAGTGGTGAAGTAAAAGATAGAATCGTAAGACTGTGTAGCATCAAACAAAGAACCTGCAAAGATAAGAAGTTATCAAGAAAAACATTGTTTTTTTAACATCTATAGATCGATACTTACTAATTCTCAATATTTCATCTTTATTTTTATTTCAACTCAATTTAAATCAAAGATTTATTGGGTAAGGGTTAGGACAATAAAAGAACATATTTCAGGAAGACAGAAGATGGCGACTGATGTTGCACTTCAATTTTTGAAGATTGTAGTTGGCGGGAAGTAATAAATCGAAAGATATAAACGGTTAGATCTAGCTATTTCAACAGCAGTATTATGAAACCTTATAGGCAAACTAGTAGAACTACTCTTAAATCCATGCAGTTGAAGTACCAAGGAGTGGGGAGATGATACAAATAATTGCAATGAAGATATTTATAGAAAAGACAGAGGGAAGCCATGTTACGTTGGTTATAAAGTAGCTGAAGTCGAGAACCAGGTCAAGACCTGATTACATTACAGACCATTCCTTGGATTTTGTCGAGAATCTCGCGATATAGAGCCGGAGAACCAGACCAAATATGGTAGCAATATTCAATGAACGGACGATTAGGAGACATATCAATATGCAAGATGGATTCTGGTAAGAAATAATGTCTGGCATGACACAGAAATACAGCTTTCCTAGCAGTAGACCTAGCAATTGATTCAATATCAGTAGAAAATGTGAAATTTCCTACATGGCTCTCTATAATGATTAAAAGATAGAAGTTTCATTGTCGGATCTATCGGACAGGAATAAATAGTTGTGTTATCAGCGTAAATACCCAGTTGGGAACTGATGACATCATGAAGGTCGTTGATTAAAATAAGAAACAATTTAAGACCAAGGATAGAGACCCAGGGAATACGCTCATTAATAAATATTTCATGAGGGCAATATTCTGTGGTTTGATAGAATTTTGCATTGGGTTTCTGTTTTTCGAGTGTAGGTTCTTCACGGGTCGGTGGGTGAAATGTCGATTGCTATTTAAGTATCAATCATATAAAAAACAAAACTAGAAGCGGCCACTTCGATGAGATGTAATCGTTACCAATTAGACATTGAGGTTATTTTGCTTTGAATCAATGCATGAAAACTGATTCCTGTATTTATTTTAACATTCTTGCACGTCCTTTCATCATTTAGAAAATACATTGATTTTTTCTTGAGAATCACATTCGAGCAGCAATATTTATCTCAGTCCTAATCTAGTGGCTGTAGTAAATTGATTAGTAAAAGAGCTCAAAGTTTATTCTTCAATTCAATTGTTGTCCCAGTATTTCTGATGTGAAACTGAACTCTTCTTCTCTACAATTGTCATGCTTGCATCTTGTTTCATATGAATCATATTCTGTGAAATATGTTTATTAATTGTTTGCCGTAATAATTAAGAGAAAATAAATGTTTAAAGGTTGATTGATTACAAAATAAAATAATATGTTTAAAATTCGTTTTTAATTTGTTTGAAAAGAAGTTAGCTTATGTTTTTGTTAAGAAAATTATGTAAAACGCAGAAATTGAAGAAATATGAACGATGTGGAATTACCTGCGATTTTCGAATCGATAATGAAAGTGAGACCAACCAAAAGGCACAAGGGAGAATATCCTTTGGTCAGGTTTCTCCCTCCCAAGATGGAAGCCACAAGCACCATTCGAAGGGTAAAGGAAACTCCTGCAAATGAAAAACATTATGTTTATCTAAATATCTAAGATGAGAAATAATTGAAATACAGATTTATTCGAAGTGATTTTCCCAACAGTTGTAATGTCTAGACTTCTCTATGTAATCGATAACATTCTGATAACATTGAACCGAACAATTTATACCTTAAACCTGAGGAAATTTTAATTCATCCTTCTGGTCGCGTTTTCTGATATTTCACTGAAAAATTGGTATACGAATTTCGCTGCCTAACACAGAGATTGATCTTGCAGTCACCAGCAAATCAATGTTGTTCTTTACCTGTTTTAACATCGTTTTTGCATTAAGTTTCTCTGATTCTGTTAAATGAGTAGAAGCGGCATCACAAGGACGTATAAAACAAGAATTAACTATAATTAAGTATTAATAAATTAATTAAATTCTCCAATTGAGAAAAAAGATTTTATAATTAGACAGACTTTAATAATAAGGCACAGATGCTTCATCTAGAGAGTTTGTGTAACAATCCCCAATGCTATACATTGCCAAAAACCTTTGCTATATGTAAGACAATTTCCCACGCCTTGAAGATATCACAAGTTCTTCACCGATTTTGCATGTAACGATAATTATGACATCAGCTGTTTATCTGCTCATGAGGTTGTTTCTAGTTAAATGAACAACAATCTCCTGAAGAAGAGATTCGAAGAAACAGAAATGTTTTTTTTTTCTACTGAAGAATGCTAAGAATACCATGGGACGAATATGTGAACAATGAGTGAGATTTTGGGGAGAATAGAAACAAAAAGCAAACATTACTTAAAATCAGGAAGAGGTAGTTGAAATTTCTGAGACACGTAATGAGGAAGGAAGGCTTAGAAAATCTGATACACACAGGACAGATAGAGGGAAAGAGGAACAGAGGAAAGCAACGTGTGACATACTTGATCAAATAGATGGCAGAAAAGGGTTAGGGAGAAATAACAAAAAGACAAAACATATTAAGAGCTACAAGGGAGAGGAAGATGTCCAAAATAGACCAAAATATAATCCTTCTATATTTCTAATCGCATATCCTACCAACGTCTTTTTCTCCAGGAACGCTGCAGAAGACCAAACATTGGAAGCACTGGTATAAATTCAATTCAGGACTGGTGCCCGAAAGATGCAAAAACAACTGATAGTAATGGAAATGCATGACCCAACAGAACAGATATCACATGTTACAAAGGGAAACAGGTGAAGAAGGTCAAAACGTTGTAAAGAAAAAGGAAAATACAATTAAGAGAATAACAGAACGACATGTCTGAAGAAAATCAGACAAGAAATGGAAAGAATTGGATTTGTTTCTCACTATACGTCATAGCAAAAGGGGATGTGAAAATGTAGAAGAAGAAAAAGAATAGAGGGAATGTAAAAGACATCATTGGAAGCCATGAAAACATCAGAATGTTATTTGTCGAAATGTGAAGCAGGTCAGCAATAATCTCAGCTGCTTGCATACAGGGCCAATGATCTTCTGGATAGAATGGACATACAAAAGTAGTGATTTGCATTCGATAATTCACTTTGGTTCCGGAAAGCGGGTAGCAGTGCCATCACAAAGAAAAATCAACTAAGAATTAACTAATGTGAGGCATTGCCTCGCATGAAGAGATGAATGAAAACATTGCAAGCGAATGGATTGAATAAAGTGTTTAGTTCTTAACCCCTTAGCATATAAACAATACAATAATTCATTCTGGTTCCAGGAAATGGGTAGAAGCGACATCTCAAAGAAATATAAACTAAGAATTAAAAAAATTAGAACATTCCATGCGAATGGATTGAATAAAGTGTTTATGTCGAATCTACCCGATGGTTGTCATATACAACAAACAAGTAAAAAATAAAAAAAAGTGGCGAATACAACCGCCAGAGATCTATGATTCAACCAATTAAGATAAGGAAAATAGTTAAATTAAATATGCGAATGAAAACATTTTTTACTTTCAACAAATTTGAGTATTTAATTGGTTTGTAAAATAAAAAGAAATGGTGAAAATTAGGATTTCTTAAATAAAACCAGAATAATATTGTTTCTGTTTGGTCAATCATTGTCTGTTGTGTAGCATATTATTTTATTCGTACATGCGCATTGCTACCTAATCACGTCACATCCGGTATCTTTACATGTTTTGATATTTTTTGTTTGCACTGTGAACTACGTGATTTCGATCTTGTGTGTGTGTGCATATAAACTCAACTGTATTATTATCCAGTATTTCTTCTTGTCAGTTATCATCACAACGATAATTGTAGATATTAATCACGAAAGGAATGAGAGGCTTGAAATTCCAAACCAACGGATACACCGGATGTGAACATTTTAACAAGTAACACGCATGCTCGATTCGAACAATTTTTAACTTTTAAAAATAAAAAAGACAACCAAAGAAGAGACAGTGATAAAGTCCATCCGAAAAAAAAACCTCGAAAAAATTTTTAATAAAATAATTTTCTACAAGAAGTGGAACGACTTTCTCGGAAAAATATTATGAATTCGTTGACTTTGCTTTGGAATACTTACCATAGAAAATGGCGAAAATAGACGCACACAGAGCGAACAATGAGAAAGAGTTGCAGAATGTAAAGGCTAAGGTAGTGGCCGACAGGCCAAACAATGAAGGCATCAGAAGGTAGCTTATAGGGATGTGAAATACGTCACCAAGAATTCCAGTAATAATTTGGCTAGGTCCAATAATTGCACCGATGATGGACATTATCAAGGCTCCTTGTTCACGGGTGAGTCCAACATTCACAACTTTTGCCGGGAGATAGACATAAATTTTTTCGCTCGCTGAGAAAAAATATTAAAAATGTAACAATTGAAAATGATATAAGGGAACAAAAAAAAAAATTGGAGCACATTATTTATACAATTCTCTTGATATATATATTATATCAATCTTATAAGTCGTAATCGATCCAATTATTCAGAAGGATATGCAACATTTGCCAAACAATTAAATCTAAAAGAAGATTTATATATTTTAGAAAAGTATCTTCAATTTTCGGATATTTTGAAGGGCACATTATTTTACAATTTTTCACGTGTACAACCAAATATATATTTGAATAATCAACTTTTCTTTCAGGATTTTGTCTCGATTCTGTGATAGATTTTTAAAGTTATATAAAAAGTCAAATCAAACAAAGTTTATCAAATAATTTACGTCAGAATTCTGCATTTGTATAAATAAATACGATGAAAGTGGAACTTTTTATCCAATGGCGACATCATAAGAACGAAACCGAAATCGAACTAATATTATATTTGACCAATGAAATAAGTTAACGTCGTACAATAAATATAATAAAATTCTCTCTGTAGACATAAAAGGAAAGAATCAACTAAAATTTGGCCAAATTGATCATCTACCCTTACAAGTTTTATGTAAAACGTTATGGAACCGTTTATGTTATGGTCGAAGATTCTTAATTGAAACAACATAATATTAATAAAAATGAAATTTGCTAATTTATTATTTATTAATACATTTTTGTAACTTACATGACCAAAAAAAGTAAACAGTTAGAAGCAACTGCATGCCTGTATTCTTCATAACATCAAGATCAAATACGATTTTGTGGAGATAAGTGCATTTGCTTGAAAATCTTTTTATCATATTGGTTGGAAGCTCGTTGGCAGAATGTCCAGGATTTTCAGAGTTGTCCAAATTGTTGGCCTGAAAAGTAATTTGATTGTATTTTTAAGAAATGTTTCTAACCTTGCCGAATGACATTTGAGTAAGAATAGAGAAAACTAAGCTGTCGTCGAAATTATCTGATCTTCCTAAAATTTCTGCTTAATCTTTTTGAGCAAGACATCTGTTTTCGAAAGTTTTTTTTTAGATTTTGCTAAATAGTCCGATTGTATTTCTTACTCTGGACATAGCAACATAAAAGTGACCATGAAAGAAACATTTGAATAATGCTCTACTGTTTATATTATTATTATTATTATTATTATTATTATTACTATTATTATGATTATTATCATTATTGTTGTTGTTGTTAATAATAATAATAATAATAAGAAGAATGAATGAATGAATGAATTCGGAAAAGTTATTATTTTTCGGTAGTTTAAATAATTTGGTACAGTTTTAAGACAATCTCATGGAACATTTCATTTTGACATATTTAGATAACATCAGGAAAGAAATGTTGGCTTCTTTCGACTAATTCTTAATGTGAAACATTTAGTCATTTAGATCATTTTCTGATAATCCTGGTTTCTCGATAATATTCGTCTATGTATTGAATATTAATAGGCTGGTTATTATTTTACTTTTATTTAAAATCTAATTTTAATATAAACGAAGTGAAATATAAAATATTAATCTTTTCCAAATCTAAAAAATATGAACACTGTTTTATGAAGGTACCCCTAAACATTCACTGAAAAAGCGGTACATAAACAAAAAATACACAAAACATTAAAAAAAAAATACAATTTTATCGTCAAAACATTTGTGTTATCATTAAGTTGAAAGATATTTTCAGGTCAGTTTTTCTTATCCTTTTTAGAACCTTTGGGTTAAAATTTTGTTTTTCTGGCTTCAACGCGGGACAGATATGTATAGGAAATTTCAAAGTATTTTTCCAGCGAAAAACACATTGATTTCGAAAAATAAAACTTTCAACACACATTCACAGAAAATCTTAATATTATTTAATCCTTTTTTGTATCGCTTCATTTCTACATTAGTTATAAGGACAAGTACTAGGAAAATTTAAATCTGGAAATCTTTTTCGTTTAAGAGGATCTCCAGCCCCCGGATTACAGATAATTGGCATTGACTTGTAAAATAAATAATTGCAATAAAATTATGACATTATTTAATTAGAAAATCTTTTCATTATTTTTAAGTGTAAATGATAAACACTAATTTTTTTACCCGACTCTTGACGCCTTATTCGAACATAGCAATGACAACATCAGAACTATTTCTAAAACGAAAAGAATTAATCATAGTGAAATCTCAAATCATAAACATAATCGTACGGAGAAGGAAGGTTCTGTGGTAGCTATATAGAATTTCTCCACAAGCTCCAATTTAATGTATTGTAGATTATGTGTTTATGAAGGACATCGGATGACTAAATGTACCAAGTTCTCTATTGTTGAGGCTCGCAAAGAGCAATGTAAGTTAATGTACTTATGTGCTAAATGCTCAACTTCAAAGCATAAAACAAATAATTGCCCCGGACACAAAGCTAAATTGCCTTATCCATGCAAGAATTGTTCTTCTAAGGAACATATAACAGCATTATGCGAGAAATTAGAAGGCATATGTCTATATACACACGTGTGTACTAACATCTGTGAAGAGAATACATTCTTATTACCTATAGTAAGATTAGACATCCGGCGGGGTAGAAAAAGGACGGTGGTCAATTGCTTGTTAGACACCGGTAGTCAGCAATCGTGTATTTCGAGCAAAATAATAAAATGACTAAATTGACCCGAGAGGGTGTTAAGAAAAGTGAGTTTTCAACTTAAAAAACGTATTTAGGCCAAGCTAACAGACGTAGAAGAGAAAGCATCTTTCTTTACCTGTATTAATTGATAGCGAATATCTTAATATTTGATGAATTAGATTCAAGTGAGAAAAATCTAATCCGTTTGAACAAAAGATTATCCTTTTCAAGGAATAAGCATGGCCAGTTCGATATCTTAGGATTGATAGGTGTCAATATATTTCAATTCATGCGTTCTAGCAAACTCGTTAAATGTAAGCGAGGCTTAGCATGAGAATTACCGAGTAGTATAGCGACATTTTCTATATGGTCATCAAATAAAATCAGTAAATTTTAAGATTGCAAATAATCAAAACAATTATCATACTATCTTAAAGAAGTTAGCTAAATGTCCTGAGTGAGAAGTAGAATTTGTATTAAATCCAAAAGGCACCTACCCTGATAACATACCTGATACCTTTAATATGTCTCTAGTAGAAAGAACTGTAGAGCGTATGTTAGAAGCAGACACGGCTATTACGGAAGTAGATATAAGTTCATATGACAGAAAAAAATAGAGGAATTCAAGGAATCTGTTGAATTAAAAAAAAAACAATAAATATCATGTGGATCTGCCGTGACATAAGGACAAAATTATTTCTGTTCCATCTAATTATAAAGTAGTCCTAGCTGTACTTCAGTGAACAGTGCAGTCTACGTAAAGATTATAATGAAGTATTCTTTCAGCAAGAAAAAGAAGACTTTCTAAAAAAAGAAATACAAATGCTATCAGAAGAGTATAAAAAATATGTCTGAATTCCACATAGACCTGTGTTCCAAATGGAATCTCAAGCTACAACAAAAACTTTTCAATTGTTCACTGAAAACAGAGGACAAGTGCTCCTTAAACGAGGCTGCCTATTCAGGAATAAACCTGATCAACAATATGATCGACTTATTGTTAAAATTTAAAAAAAAGTATGTTATGTCAGGCGACATAAAGAAAGCCTTTCTAATGATTAAATTTTAAAGGGAGATATTAGCCCAGTTAGTCGGTTAGTTAAATATCATTAGATAACGAAACTAATCAACACATTAATGCCGAATTCATTCAAACGCACAAATGTGAATGAAGAAATAAAACTACGTCATAATATAGCATTTAACAACAGTACTGGACCAAGAAGAAACGAATTAATAGAATCTCTAAGAAACTGAGATGTATTATTCGAGAAATTCAAAGAAAATTGGTACAATGATTATTTACTCGACCTCAGAAAAGGATGTAAAGAACTACATGAGATGGATTATGACAGTAAAATTTATGTTGATGATATTGTACTAATTGTACTAATTAAGAACCCAGCAACTGGGCTGGGTCACAAAATTACATTTCGGAAGTGACAAAAAGATTCTCTCAACTGACATAATGAAAGGAGACGGCGGGTCTGTGGAGATATACTCTGCCTAAAACACTTATTTCCATGGCAACTGTCCCTGACCCATAGTCATGACGCAAGAAGATTCACCCCAAGAAATAAAGGACCATACCAGGCCTAAAAGAAAAAAGAAAAGAAAAGTAATACAGACTCTGAATTTGTTTACTATTAATATCATTAAAATAAAATGAAATACAGTAATTAATAATTTCTGTACTAACAGAATAGTATAGCCAGAATAATGTTAAGTCAGCCCAGAGAAATCTGCCAGCAAGATTCCAAATTTGTCTATAATTTGTTACTAATCATCCTTTAATGCAGTTATTATTGCAAATTGAATATAACACTAACTGTAACTAAATTGATTAAAAATGTAATTTAATATTTTTTCTTTGATATTATTCTTCATAACAAAAATGGATTTAAAAAGTAATTATTTACTGGTATTTAAAAGAAAATGTATGTTTAAATTCTGCTAGCATTCTTGTTGTTAAAAATGTAAAACAAAAAATTTAACCAGTTTAATATTTTTTAAATATACTGTCAAAATATTAAACTGGTTAATTTTGTTTAGTCAATCGTTTTTTATGAAAGAGGATGGGATAGATTCGCATCTCCAAAAATACAATTATCCAAATGTTTTAATAAAGAAGATTCAATTCATTATGTAATTTCAATATAAAACGGATCCTGACCAGTGAAACAATTTGGAAATCATTTGAAACCACGTAATTCCTTAAAGACAACGGAAAGTAACATAAAATGAAAATTTCCTACATTCATACAAACTTTAAAATTCTTAATTCTAAATCTTAATCTCTCCAGAATTAGAATATGAGGTTTATACATTTTTAGAAGAACCGTGTAATATTTTTAAAAAAATAATAGTTTAAGTTAAATTTTTTTAAATTTCAATACACCAAAATCTGTCTCATAATGGTAAAATGTACCGTGTAATAGGTTGCTATGGTAACTATGATTGACAAAATAAGCTGTGTATTTTTTGTCCTCGCCAAGATCAGAATGATCAAGAACGATGGTTAAAGGCAATACCTCAAAGCAACACACCTGACAAATCAAACACTGGTGTTTGTAAAAGTCATTTTCTCTCTGCTTATGAAACACTGGTTATTACAAGAAAATTACGACCCAGAAATCCAGCATCAATATTTGATAATTTGCCAAAAGTGTGTTACCTCGTCCCCGACGAAAACCAACAAATAGAACTACTGCTTCTATGCGAAATGTGCAAAATGATGAGCTGTCAGGGTTTCAAGAAAGGGACAAAATCCTCACGTTTGAAAAATTGTATCAGAATATTGATCAACAGGATTTTGTCTTAGCAATTACATCCTATAAATCAAACAATCGGTTTTTATCCAATCTGTTGATTTTTCAATGTTTTGAATACTCGAGATTTGATTGTTACAATGCTTATATATATCCACAAAAGACTTTCCCTTTCAAACAGTCGAATATCAATGTTTCATCACTGGTTACAATTTATTGAAGCAATTCGTTATCTTAGTAATTTAAAAATTGAAAATGAGAACAAAATTGAAAAGAGCATATCAATGTTATGTTACTAGTAAGGATTGAGACAAAATATTATGATTCTGTTATTTTTATATGAGAAAATATTAGTTTTTATTTTCAAGAATAAGAACTTAATAAATTGTGTTAATTTAAAAATTCCACTAGATACCACAGATATAACAGATATTTTTTTTCACTTTCCCTCTTTTTACATATATTTAATTGGTTAACTCACCAAATTCACCTGTTAATTAATTTTGTGTTCTTAATGTAAATTGATTTTAATTTTTAAAACTATGTATACAGGTAATATCTATTATCTTATCATAGCAAATCAGTATTCTCTTCATCTTCTGTGAATCAAAACTTACATGTAACAAAAATCGCAATAAATTTTGTAAAGCTGATCAAAATCATTGTTTCTATGAAATTCACATTTTTGTAAAGTATTTTCAGACCTTGTTGATACACGATTTTGTAAAATGCTGAATGTATTATACAATTATATTTTCTATTATAAATTAGCATAAACATATTAACTCATTATTTTTGTAATATTATCTAAGATGTTTGTGTATTTAGATATTTTATGGTATTTTATATTTCTTTATACATTAGTATTCATGGAAATAAGCCAATAAGATGCTTCCTAATATTATAAGTTTTATTCTGACCGTACCTGTCACATCTAGTTCGCTTCATTAAAGCGAGTAAATAATTATATCATGTGTTCTCAAAGTGAAGAAATATTGAAGAATTTGGTCTTCATTACCAAGAATAAAAATCTTTGAAAAAGATGAAGATGGTTCTGATACGTTTTATAGCAAAAACGATCAATGGATTTGCCAAAAAGAAACGAAGAAATGAATGAATTTGCAAATAAGTTTTAATTATCTAATAATATAAAAGTTTAATAATTTTCTATGATTACTCTCGTAATCAATAACGGTCGTTATGGCAGATCCTTCGCCAAGGTATTACTAGGGGTTGAACATTGAGTCTATGCTTAGATAGATAGATAGATAGATCGATAGATAGATAGATATATAGATAGAAATCAATGACTTTTTAGTCTTCTGTTTTTACAACGAAATTGAAAAGATGATCACATCTTATAAAAGAAAATTTCATTGAAGATTATATTCTTGAAAATGTACTTACGTTCATGTCCTTCATGTTGACGATCTTAAGCGGCCGACATAGGGTGCCATAAACGACAATGTTTAAAAACAACCCACTTATTATTAAAAATGTCCCTCTCATACCATAAAAGGAAATACTTCGTTCTAATAAATTATTAAGGACAAATGCACCAATTCCAGTTCCACTCTGAGAGATTCCCACAGCCAAAGTTCGTTTCTTCTTGAAATAAGATCCAACGATGGTGTTGGATGAAAAATATGACATTCCAGCAAAAATCCCTAAAAGAAATATTAAGAATCGGCGAAATTAATAAGCTAGAAAGCGGGCGAGTCATTCAAAAGAAAATGTAGTTATGAAAATAATCTTGAAATTCAGATATTGTGCATTTATAAAATAAGTCAAGGGAATTTAATTGAAATAAATGGAAACGTTTCAGTTGATTAAATGTGAATTATTATGGAATATTTAAGTGTAGATTCATGATAAGAATTTCTATATTGCTTGGATCAGGAATAAAATTCAGTCGTCGATCTGTCAGGGTCTATGAAAAAGGCATGTTAAGTATAACTTCATGATAAATGTCTGTATATTGTTTGTATGAGGACGAGAATTCAGTCTGGTAGTCCTGGGAAAACGCATGTTGTTTGTATGAGGAACAAAATTCAGTCGTCATATAGATCTCTAATGAAAATGAACAGTCATTTTAAATTAAGAATGATAATTTAGCACGATTTTTTGCAATGATTTTGATATCTAGCTATCTACTGCAGTTTATTTCTATCTTTCGTTTATTTTTAATCGTTTCATCCCAAGCAAGGCGATAATGCCACTAAGACGCAAGCATTTACAGCAAATGAATGAGATGACACTATTGGAAAGATTGAGGAAAACACAAAGAAGGAATAGGGTTCAAGAAGATTAAATATGGCCATTGAGTTTGCGTTTAAATTTTTGAAGGATGTAGTTATCGGGGCAGCAACAATTTGGAAAGGAGTTTCTCGGGTGAGTAGTGCTCGAAAACAAATTTTTAGAATAAAAGTTGTATATATCTAGTTTGACAGTAAAACGGTGAGACCTAGATGCCAATCTAGTAGCAAGATTAAATTCATGTAGTCGATGCACCAAAGGAAAACTCATCAGAACTGTTGCCATGAAAATATCTGTAGAAAATACAGAGAGGGGCCATATTACATCTATGAGAAAGTCACTGAAGTCGAGATGCCTGGTCTGCACCGTTTACACTAAAGACCCTTCTTTGAATTTTGTCAATAATCTCGAGATGCAAAGCAGGGGCACCAGACCAGATATGGCAACAATATTCAATGTGCTGGCGAATGGTAAATTTATAATTGTGCAAGATGGATTCTGAAGAGAAAAAATTTCTGTCACGACAGAGTGAACCTTGCAATAGCCGTAGCAATTGATTTTATATAGACGCTCCATTTTATGTCAGTTGAAAACGTGGATGCAAGAAACCGTAGTGTAGATCTCCTGGAGTTTAGAATCAGACAAGCTGATGGCTAACAGAAAGGTTTCTATGTGGTGATTAAACGGAAGCAGTTTCGTTTTGAAGGCCTTAAAATTTACAATTCATATTTTTCCATAGTTAACCATGTTGCCAGATTTATCTGCGGTTGTCGGACTTGAAACTAAGATAGGAGAAAAGTGGTTGTGTCATCTGCATAAATACCTAGTTTGGAATTTGATGACATCAGGGAAGATCATTGATGAAAGTCAGAAACAGCTTAGGTTTAAGGATAGAATCTGGGAGACTCTTGCGTTGGTATGAAATAATCTGGAAGTATGCCTGTTAAACTCAACCTTAATTACACGATCTAAGGAACAATTGGATCGGTGCCGTGACACTTTAGCTCTTAAGCATGCGTAGGCCAGCATACTAAATCCTGTCAAACGCCTTCGTGATATCTAGAGCCACAGTCCGAGCTTCGCCATTGGTTACCAAAGCTTGATAAATCGTCGGTAGGAGGTTCGTGACTGATGGTAAATCGGAAAGACACTACTAAATGGCCGGGCATGCCAAGAGAACAGAGCTGCCGAGTACGACATGAGTCCAGGATGGAGGTAAGGAAGAGATCATGTAGAGAAGCATGTCCGATAGAATTACTGAGGAAACGCGTGATGAAGTTTACTATTTGAATGAGAGATAGAGTAATAGAGAAGTTCAAGGCCTGGATGCAGCATCCAGAAGGCTGCTAAGCCAGCATTCTCAGTATGAAGAGTCGTAGCCGCTATTCAGTCATATCACTAAAAATTCATGACAGCCGCACTTATCAAAGTGTCAGAAGAAGGGAACAGGAACCCCCATCCTAAATACAAAACAAGGGATAAGCCTTTACTGCTGTTCAGTAGAAATGGAAGAGGTATGGACCGGACGATAAGGAGACCGATTTACTCATATGAACAAAAAAAAAAAAAGAAAGAAAAGAAAAATGAATTGATTAAACCATAAAATATAGGCAAGGAAGCATAGATGTTATTTTACTGATTAACTTGAGTCGATCTCACTTTTATCCATTTCGTCTCTCGCCACCACATGGAGAGAGGAAGTTAAGGGCGGTATGGTTCAGTGTAGAATTAGCTGAAGATAATGATGTTGGGGTAGATTACTTAGGAGACTCATAGTACGATATTGTCTATTAGGTTTTAACTAAGAAGACCTCGAATAAAGTCGAGTGGGGGATTAAGTCTAAACTTATCGATTGAATATGAGATGCTTCTCAATAGATTTTGATTCAGCATTTCAAGTATCATCTTAGAATAGCCACAAAACTTTGCAACGGACTTCTGATTACTCTATTATAATTTCGACTGGCCGCATGTTCATTATGCGTAACCCTCTTTTTCCGCTGATTTAAAGCTTCATCCGCTTGTTTCACTGTTAGGGTCTTTGGTTTTGGATGCGCTTATTCTGGGACTTGCAGGAGTTTAAAACTCCAGACGGCATCGCTCTCACAATCATTGGACCACGCAAGCCCCTCCATCACGTCAAGAGGCGACTGTCAGAAGTACGCACATAGAAACGTACACACATAAAAACACATGTATATTTTACATTCGATGTCAGAACAAACATTTCGTTACTTATTTAACGCTTTCGCTCCAGCTCCACTGAGCATCCGTAGATTATTCGACCGGTCCACTGGTTTAATCCTGCTTCCTGCCCACGTTGTGTTTGGTTTGATCCAGAAAGCAGAAATGATGTTCATCCATTCACGGTCGACTGAAGATGTAGACACGGCTGGAGAGTCTGCGCTAAGAAATTCAGTCCACAAAACTCACTATGTAAAGATTACCTGTATGTGTTTCTCCATAGGGACCGGAATATCAATGCTTACTTTCTGAAATGGATAATTCGAATCATCCGTTTCTAATACTGGGGCAACCCTACTCCTTCGACGCTGTACTTGGCATGTTACACTTTTTTTACATGGTTCACAACATCATTAAACAACTTAGGCCAGTAGTAATTTCTCATTATTAATCCATACGTCTTATCAATTCCCAGGTGTCCTAATCTCCTATGGCACTGGTCTAGAATTTCAGCTCTCAACTTCTCAGGTATCACCATTTCTAAACTTACTTCCTCATCTCTTCCTGAAAGGTAATACAACATTCTATCGTGCACCATATATTTGGAGGTACGCCCTGCCTCTACCCTGGATCTGATAGTTGCTATCTCACTATCCTCTTGGTTTTGCCTAATAATATCTCTCCAGTGGGAGGTCGGAAACAATCCCCGTTTCACTCATTTCCCAACCAAGTCTCTCTTTCAATGCCTGTGAATTGATCACATTAATTTGGAATACATTATCATCCACACCCGGCTCCAACCTGACAGATTCGGTCTCTAATTGCCTCGGAATCCTCGATAACAGGTCAGCACAGGTATTATCCTTCCCTGCCAAATATTCTATTCTGCACTTATACCCACTTAACTTCAATGCCCACTGTTGTATCTTCTTATTCGTCCACTCCGCCTCTAACAAATATTTGAGGGGTTTTTGATTTGTTTAAAGGGTAAACACAACCCCACTCAAATAATAATCTAATTTCTGCACAGCATGCAGAATGGCGAACGCCTCTTTTTCTATTACTGGCCACCTTTGCTGAGTCTCGGAGAGCCGATGAGGCAGAAAATAGATCGGCACTTCCTCAGGCACACCCGGCACTGGTCCATCCTTATCAGGACATGGTTGTGTAAGAACTGCCCCGATGCACTTATCGCTAGCATCGGTGTACAGCACCATCGGCTTACTCATGTCTGGGGTACAGCTGTCAGTTGGTCCTTTAGAGCCTCGAATGCACGCTGACAATCCTCGGTCCACTTGCACCTAGCATGCTTCTTAGAGCTATTAGAGGGCCTACTAGCCGACTAAATGCTGGTATGAACATCCAGTAATATCCGATGGCTCCAATAAATCCCCTAATCTCTCTTACGGTCTTCGGTGCAAGCATGGCTCTTATAACCTCTACTTTGTCTAAATCCGTTTTTATTCCTTTTTTCTTTATGATAAACCCTAAGTACTTTGTCTCTTCTTTCATAAACTGACACTTCGATAATTTTTACTTTAATCCATGTTCTCTTAAACTATCGAACACATCCTGCAGATGTTCAAAATGCTCCTCCGGTGATTTTGAAAACACCATGATGTCATCTAGATACGCCATGGTAAAGGCCCTAGTACCATTCAATACGATGGACATTAACTGACTAAATACACCCGGAGCGTTTGCCAGCCCAAACGGCATAACTCTAAAATTGAAGAGACCCATGTGGCAGGTAAAAGTGGTCTTTTCCTGATCCTTTTTGCTCAGTGCTACCTGCCAATATCCCAACCTCAAATCCAAGGTGGAAAAACATTTAGACTTTCCTAAAAGAGATAGAATATCATCAATCAAGAGAAGAGGCGGTTTCGTAATGGCATTTAATTGACGAAAATCCACACAAAACCTATGCTCTCCATCCTTCTTTTCAACAATCACTATTGGAAAACTCCAGGGAGATTTGGATCTTTCGATTATCACTGATTCAATCATTTCATTCACTGTGTTCTCTACTAATTTTCTTTCGTGGATTGAGGTCCTATACGATCTTAATTTAATAGGTGGGTGATTACCCGTGTCTATCTTCATTTCAACTGTCTCCGTCTGTCCCAGTTCCTTATCCGTAATGGCTATTACCTCCCGATTACCGTTCACCAACCCCCTCAATTTCCTCCTATAACGCCCAGGAGCTGTTATATCTTCATGCCTTATTTCATTGCTACCTGTCTTATTCCTAGGCCTATTCTCGTTCCATATTCTCACCTGTTCGACTTCTCTCACTGGGCACACCTCTGCCAGCTCCTCTCCCTGCTTTATTTTAATAGTCTTATTGGCAGCATTGGTTAACAGTAAGGGAACGGTCTCCGACCTCTTCACCAACAAATCACACACGGTTAATTCCCCTTTACATCAAATCTATCAGTAGGGACCACTTGGTACAGGTCACTGTTCAGCACTCCTTCTGTTATAATCTTGCCCTTCCCAGATACAGTAGTCCTAGGGGGAAGCTTTATATCTGTCTGGGCCACCACTGGCAATTGTTCATAATTATCCTTTCACAACAATATCCCTATCCCGACCAATGTTAGGGTGGTTGGGTCGAAACGGATCTGTGCGTTATTCTGCCTAAGCCAGTTACTCCCCAAAATTAGCTCACCACTCAAGTCAGGTGCTGGAAAGATAGCCACGTTATACCCTCTATCCTCATCCTGCTACTATCATTATTAGTAGATCGACGGGACTAAGCTTCGTTTTCAGTCCACACTGTCTAAAAACCTTGGAGCTAACCAGTGACACTGAAGCTCCAGTATCGACAAGGGCCTTCACCTTCTTGTCTCCCAGCAACACATTACAGATGAAGTCTGGCCTTTCCTTCAGCAAACGGTATACCTGTGCCTTTCTCCTTCCCGTATGTTCTCTCACTTCCTCTCCCTTTCTCGACAACCGAGACGTGGGAGTCGGTGACATGAGTTCAACTTTTTCTAGGGGCTCCCATTTCTGCCCAGGGCTCTCCTGGGTGGGCAGAGCTCCAATGACTCTCTTTTCTCAGACTAACAGCCCATTTCTCCCCTCTATTCGAGTTAGGGTTGTTCCGTTCGGTGTCGTCTGCGAGGACAGGTTCGTCTCAGGTGACCAGCTCCTTCACAGCGCAGACACCTTCGCTCCTTGTAACTTGCCCAAAGTGCATGTCCAGCATCTCAGAGGTCTTACTTGCACTGTGACCACCCTGCCTCTTTCTTTTTCGGTCCTTCTTTTTCATCAATACTTTACCGCCCCCCACCCGGTTCCTACCTAAAACTCCTCTTATTCTATCCCAGAGTCGTTTGCTGGTCCGAGCCGCCTCTATGGCTGCGGCCAGTCTGACCGGTCCCAACTTCAGAACATCGCACCTCAGGTCCCTGTCACTCAACGCGTCCACATACACATCGGCCAACAAGGCTTGAATAGGACCACTGTCCCGAGTCGCCAACTCCGGAAAAGCTAACGCCGCTAGCCCCGGCCGTACGCTCACTTGCTTATTGCCGCACTAGAGCGGATTTAAGCTCGGTCCACGTCAGGGCCGGGTTTTCTTTGTACTCCCCTGCCTATGAACTTGGACACCTGCCCCGCTGAGTCGCCGTAAGCTAGGAGCACCATTTCTTGGTCGGAGAGGCCATAGATCACCTGCTTCTTATGAATGGACAGATTCCATTCGTGCAGGTCCGAAGGGTTTCCTTTATAGGTAGGTAGCTTCATGCTACCTATCAACCTCCTGAAATCAATCGATATTTCGGGTACTCCCATATCCCGAAGGTCATCTGTGGCATCTGATCCTGCTACGCTCATCCTAGCGTCTTGTCAGCTACCACTTTCCTACGATTAGAGAGACCAACGACAGAACGAATGGAAAAATACTTAACATGGTGGTGGCGCTTCAACTGCGTACAAAGTCGACAAAGTCAAAACAAGATCAACAATATTACTGACAGACCTAAATGCAATGAGCGAAAAAAAAAGAAACCAAAAAGTGACTTACCTGAGGTTCGCCGCTTCGTGTTTTGTTCCCCCCACCCACACTTTTTGCTTCGTTCTCTTTTCCTCCTTATGTCTCTTTCAGACCAATGTAGTCCGAAGACTAGAGTCCTTTCTGGTCTTACTTGGTCGCGACTGGACAAAACAAACTTCTCTCCTCTTTCAGACGGCTGTGGTAATTCTCACGGGTATATCCTGTTCAACACGGCACCAGTCTAACACTTTCGCCCCAGCCCCTCAACCTCCGACATCTTACTCTCTGGGTTGAGGTTTCTACTCGGTCCTAACCGAACTTAAGGGAGTGGCCGTAGGTCCACTGAGCATCCGTAGATTATTCGACCAGTCCACTGGTTTATTCCCGCTTTCTGCCCACGTTGTGTTTGATCCAGAAAGCATGTTCATCCATTGACGGTCGACTGAAGATGTAGACACGGCTGGAGAGTCTGCACTGAGAAATTCAGAATGCAGCAAAAAAAAAAAAAAAAAAATCTGCAGAAAGCCGGACAAACAACCATTCAATGATTGAATTGTTAATGTATTTTATATAGCAGAAAAAAATAATATAGAAAAGAAACGGGTTAAAAAAAAGTCAAGTAATTGACGAGAGAGAGAGAGAGAGAGAGAGAGAGAGAGAGAGAGAGAGAGAGAATGTGTGTGTGTGTGTTATGATTAACTTGTTAAATCGTCTCAGAAAGATATACGACTCTTGCGATGGTGAAATAAGATTTCTGTGCGCGGCTTAAAGTTTATAGTGTCGTTCCTCCTTAGCAGTAGTAATAGTAGTAGTAATATCCACGGTAGCAGAAGCAGCGATACTTATATCAACAGCAAATGTTAGCGGACGATTCCTTCCAATCTCTGACGTCACGTTCACTCCTTCTTGAGTCTCCAACTCAACTTTCCACTGTCTGTAGCCCAAATCTTGCCCGGGCTAATTCTCTTCTATCTCTCTCTTCCGTCTGCCTATTCCGTCTGCCTCTTCCGTCTGCCTCTTACGTCTTTCTCTTCCATCTCTCTGTTGAGGTAAAGAAAAGACTGTCAACTGACCGTAGCAACAGCAATAGATTTCTTGTTTTTCGGCCGCAGTACTTGTAGCCAAATCGCAGTTCACACGATAGTCCGACGTAACAGTCCAACACACACCGTAGAGACGACAAAATGGGGTCACAAATCCAACCTTCACTTCTCGCCAACAACAACACGTGTTCGTCCCACAGCTCAAAAAATCATCTCCTTTTATAAGCGAAAAACAACGACTTCTGTTCACCGAGAAAATTTTCTGATTGGTCACGCCATTCAGGGGAAGGAAGAACATTAGCATATTTTCTAGTCATTGATATAGATTTTTGCTGATTACTTTTGGATAATTTTCCCTCGGCAGATCGCACACAAAACACGAACTTTTTTTCGGGGTACCTTTCACTACACTCTCTCTTCCGTCTGCCTCTTCCGTCTCTCTCTTCCGGCTGCCTCTTTTTCAGAATAACCGCGTTTATATAGAAAAACCCGGTTGATCATAACCGACCCTTGGCCCTACTACACGGGGTTATGGCTGTTTCAACTAAAATCATGTGAATTCTAAAGGTCCTCCTTGCTTATTCAGCTCTATTCCAAGTTTTAATCAATAAAAATTATTTCGTCCATTTCCATTGTCTCCTGATGACCCAGATTCAATGGGTACAGCTCCTGCCCTAGATCACCATCAGTAAACAAAAATGCTCTGATTTAATTTCGCTCTTCAAATCCTCCAATTTCACTAATATATATATATATATATATATATATATATATATATATATATATATACGTATGTGTGTTTCCCAGACTCTCTCTGTCACACTTAAACTTTGTCCTTTTACCATTTCTCCCACCCCACGTTCCACCATCCATTTACACAAGCTCATTAGGTGAGTCTCGCTTCTTTCCTCTGTCGCTCATTCAATACGTCCTTTGAGTGTCAAATTTTCTAAGCCTTCTTTTCTCATTATCTTAGAGGTTTCAATTACTTATTTTTGATTGTACATATAATTGCGTTTTATTATTTCCATTTTCCTTAAAACGTCCTCATTACTCACATGTTCGGTCCATGCTATTCTCAACATCCTCCAGTAGAAACATATTTCTTTCGCCTCAAATCTCTTTTTTATTTTTGGGACATTGTGCAGCATTCACTGATATATCGGAGGACAGATATATAACAGCTTCTAACATGATTTCCGTTTTCTCACCTCTTAAAGCATTTCTCATGAATTTAAATATTTAGATTGGATTTACTTGATTTTCTTTCCTCCATTTCATAATTTGCAGCATTGGACTGTTCCATTTTCTGACAGCCGTACATTTTGTCTTCTCTCAATATATACTTCGCCCTTTCTTCACACTTTCCTTCACTATCTTCTGTAGTAGGTTCTGTTGTTTCTCTTCTGTTTCTGCTATCAACTGTGTCATTTGCATATCTTATGCTGTTAAGATTGTATCCACCGATAATAAATCCTGATAGGACTTCTAGTTTTCTCAAGACACCCTTGATGTAAAGGTTGAATAAATCTCATATTGTCTTACGCCCCTTTATAAGTTTTGTAAATTTACTGAATGTCTTTTCCATCTTTATACAAGCGGTCTTCTCCCAGTATCAGTTCTGAATTATTTTAATACCTTTCGCAAATAAACCAAGTATCGTCCCTTATCAAACGTAAGACGAGTAATCATACAAAACAAACACCGTTATTATAATACTGAGGAAAGTGCTGGTGTATTGAGAAATGTTACTTTCACTCTGTCTTTTGCGAATCTTTAATTGGTAGGGTATAATAATGAGAGAAGAATAAGAAGAACTTACATTTATATTATAAACAAAATCTATTCTTACCTGAGAGAATCCCATATGTAAGGTAAAGAACTTCAACTTGGTCAACAAAAAAGCTTCCAGCGGTTGCCACGGCAGAAACGAATCCTCCGCAAATAATAACTTGGCGATGGCTTACATTAAACATCATTAGAAGCAATACAAATGGACCTGGTAAAAGGGAAATTTGAAGTCAAGAACAAAATAGTACAAGTCTTTTATAAATTCATCAATATGGAAACTTACCAGCGCATAAAACGACTCCAATGAAAATTGAACCGACCATGGTTGTTTTCGAAATAGAAGAATCATAAATGGTAATGATTCCAAGAGCGACAATACCATTTGAGTAAACCAGTCCAACAATAGTAAAATTCACCATGAATCCAGCAAAGCAAACGGCCCAACCCCAACCTCCATCAGGAATGTGTAAGGAGTCTCCAGCATCAGGATCTGTTTCTGGTTCCACTTCGTTGGTTTGTCTTTCAATGTTACTTGGACCTGTCTGTTCCATTCTGAAAAAGAATCTGCAGATGTAGAGTTAAGCATTTTGGATACAAATTTACCAAAATTCTAAAGTTAATGAAATAATCAAATGATTCACAAGATTTAATTTACTCTAGTAATTTTATTTATCTATTTTCAGGGCCTGCAAGAGAAGTGCTGTAACGTAGCACAATACTTTTTTGAGTACCCGAGGCAGGCAAAGATTTTTCTCAAAATTGAGGATTTGATGCCCAATAAAATCTATGTGTAAAGTCTCATAAAGGCATTATTTCCATTATCTCTTGTGGATCTGTGAATAAAAGCTTTGGTTGAAGTAATCCAAAAGTGACTTTATCTAAAGACTTATGATTTTAATAACTGGTCACAGCAGAGATGAACAAAAACTTCAAGAGTTGTGTTACTATATGGAAGTAACTGAAACTGAGATTTTCAGAAAAGGCATGGCACGTGGAACAAGAATAATCTATCACTGTGGACTAAATAAAAGGTTCGGTTCGATATTCCAATGAATATCACCTAAATAAGTCCATAACGCCTGAAGAAGGACGAAGCGTACAATGGCCGAAACGTCGGGAATATTAGAATGAAGTAGACATGTGTCCGAGTAGTATATATACATATATATATATATATATATATATATATATATATATATATGCATGTTTTATTGAATGTGACGGGCAAGGAAATAGTGTCTTTTTATATAGATTTTGAATGTATTTTATGGGGACTAAGCCTGTAGAAACTATCATTCGTTTTAATTGTCTCAATGGCTTTCAGTTGATTGTACTAAGAATTCCATGTTATGTTACCTTCAGTTTCAAAGCAAGTAATTTTCTGTGCCAGTTTGTATTTTTTTATAAAATTTTTTCATTATTTTCAAATACTTTTTATAACTAAATGTTTTTAAAATGACAGTATTATTTACAAATAGTCTATGTTTTTTATGGGGGGAAAAAACCATGAAATATTAAAATAAATCACGAATACATACAATAATTATTTTCATTTAGTTTGCCAGGAAATTATTTAACTGATCCTTCGCGATGAAGTCACAATTGTGTATTTATTCACTTATAACTTCGGTTCATTCAAGTAGTATCTGTTTCCGTGACTAGTGTGAGCAAATTCTCTAGAGTATAAGTACAACTATTGACAAAATGATAAACCTGGAATAACCGGACTAAAGTTAAACGACTTTCATTCGAACAATTACGTTTACAAACTTTCAAGAATTATTTATCAGCACAAGAATCAAAATAGGATTTCATATTTATACAATTTAAATGTTGAATAAAAAACAGGAAAGTAAGAATGAAAACAACAAACTGGAGTAAACATTAAATTACAATAACGAAATAAAAAGAGGAAAAATCAATATAAAAATGAAGTCATTTTACTTACAAGGCAGGTGAATGTATGTAAAACTCCTAGTGAAAACGTTGTCCTTTTTAGGTTCTAAGTTGACGGGTAATTTATTTAAATTAAAGACGAATGTTAATCCATGGAATTTGTATGCGTTTTGCAATCCTAAAAAAATGCTGGTGTTGTCTGTTTTTAAGCGGTTATGTAAAAAACAGAAACACTCACTCTGGATAGGCACATAACCTGATTTTCGAAGAGAACAAGTGAAGTGGAAACAATATCACTGAATTATTTATGTCGACATTAAAAAAGCAAATAAACTTTTCTGTTTATATGTGTCGCTATTGACGATTTCCTAATTAAATTCATTCAATAGATGCCATGCTCTCTTAGGCGACCATGTCTCTTTTCGATTCATTATTAACTTGAGAAAAGAATTCCCGCAGGGGTCTGGTGGTAGACTGGTTCCCAACGAAGGCTATAGAACCGAATCTGTCCTGCTATTTAACCCATATCTGGGAGGGAGGAGGAAAGGAGGTTATATGGATTTGCGTATGGAATTAATAACTCAATTCGAATTCTCATTTCGAAATCATTATACACCATCCGAACATCCGTTTATACTTTGATTTCCCAAATGGTAACCAATTCGACATTCTGAAGTTCTCTGGTTGAGTTCCAAAATAGTGGTAATCATATTAAAATAAAACGGAATTTTAGGAAAATGAATTTTAGTCGAAAAGCACTTCTTTTAGTAATAATTCATTTATAGTAATAATAGTTTCTATATAACATTTCCTGGGGTGGTGGGATAAACTATTTTATTGTTTATCTTTGTTGCCATATTCACGATGTACAACCCGGCCTTTCTTCAAAAAGAACCCTTTATTTCGTCCACCAGGAGGATTGTTCTAGTTCTACTTCATGGATATCTGTTATCCCTTTAATCGTTGCTTAAATCAGTCTCACAAAAGGATAGACCATTCTCCTGGGTTTTCCAGTGATTTCGCCAAAAAAGTTCAATACCTTTCTGCGCCTGAGTTAAAGGAAATAGCATAAATGATTACAAGAATTTGATTGCAAAAGACATTTGATCAGGATAGACCCATCGTTGAAAATGAAAACGATTTTAAATCTCGCCTCGGGAAATATATAAATGATTACAAGTATTTAACATTTTAAAAAACGTTTTCTTTATAACCATAATTAATTGGTGCTTATTCTTTTTATCCACAGATAGATAGATCGATCGATAGATAGATAGATAGATATATAGATAGATAGATAGATATGTGAACAGACAGATATATTAAAGCCTCTGAAGCGTCAATAGTTATCTATCCTCCATATAAAGGTAATTCCTAATTCATCCTCTTCCGTTCATATCATATACACCTCATTCCGTAATCTTTTACTATGAGAGGCTCTTGGGCCTTGTATTTGGTAAATTTTAGTAACTAGAAAAGTGTTTTACCTTTTATTCATTATACATTGCATATATTATTCGGTCAAATACGAAAAATTTATTAATGCTATCAAAACGGACACTTTACAGTTGTATAATGAAAAATACAACAAACAGGGAAAAGAAGTGAAGGATAATAAGAAGAGCAAGGATAAGAAGTAAAAAGCTAAGAAGAAGAGCAAGGATAAGAAGTAAAAAGCTAAGAAGAAGAGCAAGGATAAGTAAAAAGATTAAGAAGAAAGCTAAGAAAAAGCTAAGAAGAAATAAGGATAAGAAGTAAAATTTTAAGAAGAAGAGCAAGGATATTCTAAGATTTTTTTTTAAGAAAAAGCTAAGAAGAAGAGCAAGGATAAAAAGCTAAGAAAAAGCTAATAAAATAAAATTAAGAAATAAAATTGGTTAAAGTGGTTAAACAATAACAAAAAACAAATACTAATTTATATATAGAGAGAGAAATGCTCACACTAGTCACGGAAATAGATACTACTTGAATGAACCGAAGTAATAAGAGAATAAATACACAATTGTGACTTCATCGCGAAGGATCAATTAAATAATTTCCTGGCAAAATAAACGAAAATAATTATTGCATATATTCTTGATTTATTTTAATTTTTCATGGCTTATGTGTAATGATAAAAAAGAAAGAATATATTGTAAATAATACTGCCATTTTTTAAAAAGCATTTAGTTATAAAATGTATTTAAAAATAATGAAAAGAATTTTATTTTAAAAAATACGAAATAAAAGAAAAGTTTATTTGCTTTTTTAATGTCGACATAAATAATTCAGTGATATTGTTTCCACTTCACTTGTTCTCTTCGAAAATCAGGTTATGTGCCTATCCAGAGTGAGTGTTTCTGTTTTTTTACATAACCGCTTAAAAACAGACAACATTTGGTTTTTTTTAGGATTGCAAAACACATACAAATTCCATGGATTAACATTCGTCTTTTAATTTAAATAAATTACCCGTCAACTTAGAACCTAAAAAGGACAACGTTTTTCACTGGGAGTTTTACATACATTCACCTGCCTTGTAAGTAAAATGACTTCATTTTTTATATTGATTTTTCCTCTTTTATTTCGTTATTGTAATTTAATGTTTACTCCAGTTTGTTGTTTTCATTCTTACTTTCCTGTTTTTTATTCAACATTTAAATTGTATAAATATGAAATCCTATTTTGATTCTTGTGCTGATAAATAATTCTGATAAAAAAGTTTGTAAACGTAATTGTTCGAATGAAAGTCGTTTAACTTTAGTCCGGTTATTCCAGGTTTATCATTTTGTCAATAGTTGTACTTATACTCTAGAGAATTTGCTCACACTAGTCACGGAAACAGATACTACTTGAATGAACCGAAGTTATAAGTGAATAAATACACAATTGTGACTTCATCGCGAAGGATCAGTTAAATAATTTCCTGGCAAACTAAATGAAAATAATTATTGTATGTATTCGTGATTTATTTTAATATTTCATGGTTTGTGTAATGATAAAAAACATAGACTATTTGTAAATAATACTGTCATTTTAAAAACATTTAGTTATAAAAAGTATTTGAAAATAATGAAAAAATTTTATAAAAAAATACTTAAAAATACAGAAAATTAGTTTGCTTTGAAACTGAAGGTAACATAACATGGAATTCTTAGTACAATCAACTGAAAGCCATTGAGACAATTAAAACAAAGGATAGTCTCTACACGCGCTTAGTCCCCATATGGTAAAATAATGATTTGTAGTTTTCTCTTAATTTCTGTTATTTAAAATTTTTTCTTTTAAAAAAATGAACGTTCGTAATTGAGTCAAAGTAAAAATATTACCATCAAATATAATATTGTTGTATTTTATGTTGCTGATGCTTCTGCTGATAATGACGAAGTAATATATTATGAATACGTCATTTTTATAAACATTCAAAAGTATTATTCCAAAGTATTGAGAAACAGGATAAAAGAGCAGTGAACTGTTGCGCAATTTCAGTAGTCTTATATGGCAGTATTGGCTGGATAACCTCTTCACAAATGGAGAAGAGAATCGAAGCAACAGAAATGTGGTTCTAAAGATGGACACCGAGAATACCATGCATTGAACATGTGAGTAACGAGGAAGTTTTACCGAAAATGGAAAGACTATACTGAATCCTTTGCTAGGCCAGCTGCTAAAAAAGTTCGTTAACTGTGTTATTGTTGTAGAGCAGTTTTCACAGTGGAGGCTTGTATTTCAGTAAGTCGTCCTAAATTAAGTTCGACGTACAAAACTTTAGGAACTTGAAATAAGAGTTAATGACGCAGCAATCTAGTTGTGATGGTTCATACTTTAATGCCCGACATCGACTGGCTCACTCAACACCACTGAGCCCAACTGTCGACCGCTACTACTACTACTACTACTTATTATGTGTGGGAGAGTCTATTAATAATAGAATAGGTACGTCAAGTATAACATCCCCCATAAAACTTTACTCCGTAGGAGTAAACAGTTTTCTTTCTTTATTTATTTTTTAAATTTTTACAGAAAATATGAAGAAAAAATAACAAAATTTGTTTTTTTTAGCAACATCGTAGCGTAATTCCTACTTTTTTTTTTATCTACTTTTGAATGATCAGTTGCCTTTCTTTTTTTTCTTCTGGATCGGCGTACCTTAGGTAAAATTATTTACAGGGGTTGTTAGATCAAACTTATTGAAAATCACTTCCATCGGCGTTTTTTTTTTCGCGGGACCGCTGTCAACCACGTCTGAAAAAACGTCGTCTGATCTGTTTACTGCACGTGAGTTTTTCCACTTCCACCAAGTACGTCATATAGCCAATCCGCTTTTCTATTTTTTTTTTTTTTATATCTCCAAAGCGTTATCAGAAGCAACCTTCCACTTTGAACTTCTTAAACTTCTTAAAGATGGACTCACAGTTTCTGTAGGTTCTTCTTGTTGACTTAAATCATTTAATAATACTGCATGTCCTTGGTTTAATTGTAATGTCGCTCCTCTGTTTTTTCTCAGTGTATTCATTTTTACTTTTCGGAGCTTGGTTTTCACGTATATTTTCGGTGTTCCCCATTCAACATTTTTAAATACGCCGTTTTTCTCTAATCTGTCCAATTCTTTATCTATCTGTTCAGTTGAAGCAAACAGCACATTCCTTTTTTTTTTTTTTTAATATCGCCTGAGCGTTTTGTTTTGGCTGTAATTTTGCCTCCGTCTTGATACACGTTCCCGAACCCGGAGAAAAAAACAGTAGGAAAAGTTCCCTTAAGTTTCAGTAGTAATTTTTGGGCTTCGCAGTTTAAATTTTCAGCCTTGTAATAGAAATAATTTATTGGTAAATCCCATAATTGAAATTCTGTTATCCAATACGTACCAAGTAAGTTCGTAGTATTTTTTATGACAAATAGTGTAGCTTTTTTTTTTTATTTAACGTGACGTTTGTAACAAATTCTCCAATAAATTGTATTTTTTCTCCTGTCATTGACCTCGCGATTTTTTTTGTCTTCATTAAAGTTGGTTTCCCAAAGGTTCCACATATTCAAATTTATGATAGATAGGTCGGAACCACTGTCGAGTTGCATTTTTTTATTTTTTATTACTTATTTCGACGGTAACAAATTTTCTGGTTATTCCGTCGTTCACTTTGTCGGACTTAAATTTTATTTTATTGTCTTTATTTTTTGACCTGCAGTGCGAGCTTTTATGCCCCACTCTTTCACAGTTGAAACATTTTTTATTCTTAAAATTGCATTATCTGTACCAGTGAAGTTCACCGCAAGCAAAACATGGCTTCGGGAGTTTTTATTTATTTTTTTCTGGTATTTCACTTTTTGTTTGATAATCCGCAATTTTAGAATTCTTTTTGTAGACTGACTTTCTTTTTTGTAGCGTATTTTTCTTACATGCGAAACGCCAGACTGTTCTATCTTTTTCGAGTCTTTCTTTACGCTAACATATCTTGTGCAGTCTTCTGCCAAACTCTGTACCGAAATCCTCGGTTCGTTTTCCAATTTTGAAAGTACCAATTTCCTCAATTCTGCGTCTCTTTCTGATACTAGATCTTGAACAAATACTAAGCACTTAAAATTGTCAGCGCTTAATTCTTCACAATGCTTCTTCACATTAGCTGCATATGTTATAAAGTCTTGTTCATCTTCTTTCATCAGATTCAAACATTTCCACCTCTTGTGAAACAAAGATGTCTTTTTACTAAATAATTCACTTAATATATTTACCGACTCGGTAAAATTCAACTCGCTAGATTTTTTCGGTAAAATGTAGTTTACCAATTTGTTATGCTCAGCAGTTCCTAACTTAAAAGAAGTCTAAACTTCTTTCCTTCAGACCACGAGTGGCAGTTCTCGTTATACACGTCCGTATATTTTTAATAATGCTTTTCAAAAGTTATCTCTTCGTCTGGACTGTACGTGAATATTTCAATCGAATTCAATATTGTATTCTCTGGGAAAGAATCATTTCGTAGATTTTTCTCTTCTCAGTTATTTCCAGAATTTTGTTTTGAAACTCCTTATGCATCAGTTCCATTTCTCTTTGAAACTGTATCTGTCTATTAAAAGTTTCCTCCTGTAGATGTATCTGGAATGTTTTCTGTAGCTCTAATATTGTCTTTTGTTGTTCCGGCAGTTGAGAATACGATTGATTTTTTCGTCACTAAGTTGACGTCTTGTTTTTCCGAAAAAACTTTTCTAAGTTTTTTTTTTTTCTTAAAAGTGAATCCGAGATGTTGTCGCCGAATATTTGACGAGCAAATTTTTTTTCTTTTTTTTTTTTCCTCCGTATGAAAAACGAATTTCGTCACTAAATAACGTGGCGAGCGATTTTTTTTTTTTCACTGTAT